AGTAATTAGCCTAATAATTAGGCTAATAATCCTAATAGGAAATAATAAAACAAAGTATGTAAATATAATTTCAAAAAAATTTTGAGCCTAGATATCTTGAGTGAATTTTAATCAAGATGAATTTTAAAGCAGTTAAATTTACTTTAAGATATGCTTAATACAAATCATCATCTATTGCACTCATCTCAAAGTAAACCAATGGATTTTAAACCAATGACCAAAATTTCCTCAATACATGTTCGGCTAATTTCTTTCCTGAAACTTTTAATACAATTCCTTTTCAATGTTGGAGTCTTATCTAAATATTACTTAAAAATTTAAAACTCCACCATCAAAAGCTTGCGCATACAAATATATGAGCTCCTAAACAAAAAAGAGGTGTTCCAATTCTTTTTTTTAAGATAACAGCCAATTATTTTGAACTAGAGATATGAAAGTAACAACTTTCCTGGAAAGTAAAATAATTTGTGTGATATTAAGCTCCTTTGTGAGTTTAGTTCGCTCATAAAAAGTAGAATTATTGACAATGTAGATGGTGGCAAGATTGTTGGAATATAGATGCACGGGTTGAGTACCAGGAAAACCAAACTATACTAAAAATATTAAACCATGTCACTTCACATGAATAATGAATCATAGCTCTATATTTAGCTTCAACATTTGATCTAATAATCACAACATATTTCTTGATTCTTCATATAACTAGATTCCCTCTAGTAAGGATGCAATATCTTAATACTGACTTATTATCTTCAAAGAGCTGAAATAATTAATAGAAGACCATGTTCCATAATTCAGATGCTTAGATTTAGTATACAGTAGTATTTTACTAGTAGTCCAGTTTATGTATCTAAAGATTCATAAGATAACTTGCCACTCTGGCAGTAAATGAAATGTTAGGTCAGGTAATAATAACATAAATAAGTTTACCTACCAACCTTATATATTGGGATGAATCACGAAAAGATTCATCATCATCATTAAATATGGTAAGAATCTCCATGGATATATCAGAAAACTTGCAATCAAAGTGACTTGTTTCTTCAAAAAGATCAATAGCATATTTCCTTTGATAAAGAAATACTCCTTTATAACTATATGCAAATTTAATTTTAAGTGCTTCAAGTTTCCCAAATATGTTTGTAATAAACCATCTCTGTATAGTATTTTACCGCAAAAATGACATAATGGCTACCAAAATAAACTGCTAATTTGATTGATCCTCCAAGAGCATGCTTTATGATGATAGAATGGCTTGTAGCTCCACTTTGAAGACCAATCTAAGTTAAGACTATGCATGACAAGGGGGTTATTCCACTCCCACCTCTACTGAACCGGGCAACCGGAACTAGTTCAATTGAAACTGGAGGGGTGGCCGGCCCCAAGTGTTTTGGGGTTGCCGCCCGATTAGGAAAGGACACCACCTCTCCTCCTTATCAAAATAGTATTTATATGTGTTTGTGTGTCTTAGGGTTAGCTTATATTATTTTCTGATTTCAATTTGTGAGGACAGCCGTTGGCATCCTATTTTCCCCTTTCTTATATTATTTTCTGATTTCAATTTGTGAGGACAGTTGTCGGCATCCTATTTTTCCCTTTGAGGGTTGTATCTGACGGTTAGGGCGGTGCTCCGGTTGTATCCCTGTGTATCTGACGGTTAGGGTGGTGCTCCGGTTTTATCCCTCTCCTCGGCGGCGATTTCCTTTTTCTCTTACCCCCCCCCCCCCCCCCCCCCCCCCCCCCCCCTCGCTGCCTACAGGTTTTCCCGCAGCTTCCCTATCCCAGCCGCCCTTTTCTACACACACCCCCCCTGCCCTGCAGCCACTTGTTTCCACGTTTCCATCCTGCAACCATCCATAACATCTTACAGTGCAGGCCAGCCGCTGCTTGCTGTAACCTTGCTGCAGCAGCCCATCCCAGATCTCCTGCTCTCCCATAACTTCCCTTATTCGTGCTTTCCGCCGCCAATCGCAAATCACCTCTCTGCTGCCGTACCATGACCCCTAACCTGCAGCTGCTCCAACCCCACCCGCCTACAGCATCCCACGACCAGCCACTTCCACTGCCTATACATGGCCTGCCCTCCTCCCAGCAGTCAGCCCCCTCCACACCCATATACTGCTGCTTTAGCCATTGTCCTATCCCCTGCTGTAGTGAGAACCCTCTACTCCCACCTTCTGCCCCGGCGTCAGCCACCACTCGCATCCTCATCGTCGGTACATGTTTGTGTTGTCGTTTTTTTTTTTTTATTTTGACGAGTCCCTTTTGAATTTTAGCAATAATATTTATATTTTTATAGTGATTTGGGCTAACTCCAGTATCATTTGATATCGGAGTCAGGTTAACCCTAGTTCTATCCTAAGATTTCCTAACATCCTCCATGACCCAAAAATTTTCTTTCTTAACACCAAATATCATTTCCACTACCACATATCCCTAACCTTCCCCCTTGTTGATTTTTAAAATCAACAACCGTAAATCAATTATTTTCACCCTCTCTCACAGCCCAACCCTAAACCCTAGCCATATAACTGAGGAGATACATGCTCGAGCCTACCCAAGAGGAGATACAAAGATAGATCTGCCAACTTCAACGAAAGTTTGCGGATATTTAGGATGAAATCCAATAGGAGGTTACCCTCGATTGTATACAACGACATTGAAGAGGAGAAAGAGAATCTGAAAAAATGAAGCAGGAGATACAAGTCACTTTCTACCATCTTACTACAGACAGAAACTTCAGACCCTAGCTTAAGAAGGGGAGAGACCCCATCACCAGGCGACCACTCAAGTTTACTGGCAGAGCTCAACCTCAAGGTATTACAACCAGATCTCACCGAAGAGAACACCCAAAATGACACCGTCACAAGAAGAGTTGATTCCGAGTGAAGAGCAGGTAAAACCAATCCGCATCCTTAAATTTGTCACAGCCAGGAAGTGTTGCAAGTGCCACAAATTTGGACATGTTGACTCAAAATGCACAGCCAAGGGAGTGATCTATGTCACTAAGCAGGGTGTTGTTGAGAAATTGGACAATGACACTGTTGGTCCAGGAGAAGATGAAGACTTCAAAGAGGATTCTCAACTTGCAGCCAACAAAGAAGAGACATCACCACTTCCAGTTAACCCAAAGATAGAGATTCTAGCTATGAAAACAGTAGTCATTCTAGAAGGTAGTGACCTCGATGCAATGGGCATTCAGCAGAGTATGAAATTGTGGTACTTAGAGCTATCATTTCACATATGTTGAGAGGAATATCAACATAGCTAACCTTAGATGTCCAAAAGGGTTGTGATTTGAAGAGTCGACCAAAGATACAAGGCCACCACAGATCAGAGAATTGCATATCTTTCAGATGTATAGACTCCTTCCAGAGTTACCCTCGCGTAGGGAGGTCCAGCATGTCAGAAGTGGGGTTATTTTGCGTCATGTGAGGATATTCAAAGGTTATTTTCAGCCCAACATGTTACCCATCGTCAGATGTCCAAACAGAAGAGGTGAACCCCAGCTTTTTAATGGGCTCTAGGAGCTTGATGGGGACAAAAATTCTTCAATAGGATTCAGGTTTTATCAGTAAAGAAGAGGTCCCTCCTGAGTGAAGTGGGTGCTAGTGAAAGTGGTGCAACCTGCCACAGATTTTACCCATATTTGATTTCTCCTCACATACTAGATCATCAGTTGCACTCAGCCAAATACGAGTGAGAGAAGCAAGTTATAACTAGGATGGCTCCATACCTGATTCATGAGAATATTCGTCTATTTATAGTTCCAGCTCAGGGTTTGTCAAAGGTAGACGGATCCTTATTCTATTAGAGTGTGCTTTGGATCGACGACGCTTATTTGATCGACCTATCAAGGAACTTTAAGGTGTGCAGAAATGTTCGAGTTATTCTCACCGCATATCAGATTGAGTCAACTAGGGTTTACTCTAGGAAAATTCAGCGGAACATACAGGGCACGCTGTCCCAAGAGAGTGAACTGATATGGATGTACGCTCACAAGTGGAGCTAACACTGGTGTTTTGTGACCGACCGTGAGATTCAGGTCTTACTAGGATTATAGTTGAAGATCTGTCTGTCCCGTAACATTACAGTAGCTCCATTACCAGCAATGTGCACCCAGAAGTTTCGACGAATGAGGTCGAAGCTCTCCCAACCCCGGGAGAATGACACGAGGGTTATTCCCCTCCCACCCCTACAAAACCGGTTCAGTTGAGACTTGGAGAGGACTGAGAATTGAGATTGTCGCCCAATAAGAAAAGAGCCCCACCTCTCCTCCCTATCAAAATAGTATTTATATGTGTTTTGTGTGTCTTAAGATTAGCTTATGTTATTTTTTTTATTTCAGTTTGTGAGGACAGTCGTAAGCATCTTATTTTCCCCTACAAGAGTTGTCGCCAACGGTTGGGATGATGCTCCGGTTATATCCCTCTGCCCGGTGATGATTATCTTTCTCCGACTTCCATCTCCACCTCCCCTCTTTACCGCATGTGGGTTTTCCCGCAGCTTCCCTATTGCAGCCACCAGTCACAAACGTCCCCTCTGTTGCCTTACAGTGACCACTAACCTGTCGTTGCTCCCACCCCCACCCACCTACAGCATCCCACGACTAGCCACTTCCACCGCCTGTACGTGGCCAATCCTCCATCCAGCAGCCAACCCCATCCACACCCCTATCCTGTTGCCTTAGCCATTGTCCTATCCCCTGTTGTAGAGACAACAACCCTCTACTCCCACTTGCTACCCCGACATTAACCAGCACTTGAGTCCTCACCGTCGTTGCGTGTTTGTTTTGTCGTTTATTTCCTATTTTGACAAGTCTTGTGTAAACCTTTTGAATTTTAACAATAACATTTGTATTTTTATGGTGGTTTGGGTTAACTCTAGTATCAATGCATAGTTTGTCAAACCTACTAATGGTCTCTAATTAAAATTGCTCAAAATAGCTTTATGTAGGTCACCATAAAAGAAGGCATAAGGGCCATTCATTTGTAACATAGTCCAGCCTTGATGAGTGACCACATATAAAAGGATTCCAATGAATTTCAGACTATGCAATTGGGGGAGAATGTGTCAAAATAATTGACCCCGTGGATGTGGGTGAAACATTTTTAAATCAAACAAACTATTGAGGAATCAATCAATTCTTCAGAATGAATTTTTGTAGTGAGCACTCGCTGCCAATAAATTGGTTTGACCTGTGAGAGGGTACAATTAGATCCTAGGTATGATGATTAAAAAGAGTATTCATTTTAACATCCATAATATATTTCAATAAAGAACATTGAAACACACCTTAATATGTCTAAGGAATGGATGTAGACGATAAAGGTAATGCAATAATGTGAAATGAAGTGGATAAATAACTAAGTGAGATAATAATATGATGGTCACTATGTGGGCCTTTATCTCTCAAAAGGGCAATAGAAATATGCAAGTCAAATGGTTCATCGAGTTGAATCAAATAATGTGCTGGGAATTGTTATCACGAATGGAGGTCTAGGAAAATGAGAGTATACTTATAAAGATGTGACAATAGTAAGAGGAGATTAAGGAGAAGGAATGGGAAGCAAGTAGGCTCAAAAACAATATAAGAAAGAAGAAGGTGATAGGCTCATGAAAGATTACACCAACAAAAATACATAATTGTTATGTAAATGGATCATAACATCAATATCCTTCATGAGTACGATAATATCCAAGGAATATGCACCGAATAACAAGTAGAGAAAAATTGAAACATGCAAACAAATCAGGTTGATCCAAAGACCCATAAATTAAAGAGAAGAAAGCTTGACCAAGATAAAGCATGGAAATGAATTAGGAGTGATCTAGAAGTTGATGAAGGATTTGATTGATTAAACACAATTCACTATGCTGATAGAAATAATAACTCTCATCTTTACTGTAAATCTTTGGGAATATTGAAGATTACGCATGATTTACAGTTCATTATTTTATAGCTCAAGTGTGATAATCACTAGTGAGGAATCACAAAATCGCAGATGAAACATAGCCAAGAAAGCACTATAGTAAAAAATAATAATAATGGTTCTACCTGTTCAATCAATTCTTTAATATCTTTTCCCTCTTTATTGCTTTTTGCAGCACCCAACTCCACCCCAGATACTCTTTCAGCAAACATTAAGGTACTTAGTGTCTCCGAGAATGATTCTAGATCCGGATTAACCTGTACAAACATAAGGGCCTTTGCTTGCCCACCTGCATATGAAGTAAAAATTTACTAAGGAAATATGATTGAGTAAAGCAAGCATGGAGCTTGGAGAAAAGAAATGACCACTTTTTTTTTTAATTCTCATCATAATAAGAAGAAAAATGACAATAAGGAATTCCATTTAATAGCAATCCATTAAGAGTTTCCTTTTAGCAACTAAAAATACTGGGAGAATCAACAAGCCCCAATAGTAAGAACAAATATAGCAGAAGTACCTAATGAACTCTGAAGGACTTGGGTAAGTTTGCTGTTTCTATATGGTACATGAGCGCTTTTCTGAGACAGTGCAAATATGACATCACCGAGGGCAGAAAGAGACTTGTTGATGTGTTGTGCTTCTTTGAGTCTATCCCCTGTTGCTTTAGAGCGCTCAACTCTCTCACTTCCAGCCAGATCTATTAAATGTAGACAACCCCTTGAAGTGGAGCCAGTCTTCAAATCTACACCTCGTACATGAACGGTTAGAATGCTGCAAAATGTAAAAATCAGTACAAGTCATAAGTTCAAATGAATTTATCAGCCCAAGGAAGAAGAAGTAACCTGTGGGATCGACTACTTCTTTCATTTAAAGCAGTTGAACCAACAGCCCTGTTTGTTTGCCCAAATTGCATCAGCTCCAAGACATCTGAGGTTGATTTGACTGCAAACATGCTTGCATCAGGAACAACTAGACCCTGTGGTTGTGAAATACTCCAGATCCCAAGTGTGCGCAAGCTAAGGAAGCAATTGACCTTAATATGATAAATTAGTAGCTCAAAATATCAAAATTCCAAAAATCACAAGGATGCCACGCTCAATATCTCCATAAAAATAACATGAATTTCATAGTGTAAAATATGAAAGAAACATACAAAACCCCAATTTGTGATTTTCCAACATTAATTTAAACAAAGATTAGACAATTTTGATTTAAAAATGACACAGGATTTTGAAAATAGCGATCTTCACATGAATGCACTTTTAAGTGAAGCAAAATAGGCAAATGACATATTTGATTAACCTAAAGTGCATCTATGTTGTCAAAAATTCCATTATCATAGGTATAGCATTAAGCACCTCCACATTAAACCCTAAAAAAAGTACCAAAATGATATTAGCTTGACAACTTTTTAGCTGCTTTATGATAATAATGCCAAGGATATCGTTTCTGTGAGCCACTATTGGAAAGCAGATCACGAACTTGCTCATTATAGATTTCAACCATCTGAACGCCTACTTCATACGTGAAGGCGTTTCTTCTTACTTGGGACATATGAAATAGATCACTCAAAGCTCGGTAATTGACCCCCCAATCTTCCTTTGAGGACAAGTTTGGTCCGCTCTATCAAAAGATGGTTTGAAGGCAAGAAATATCAGATTTCAAAGGTTATAGACTAGAAAAAAGACAAATTAATAACTATGATCATACCATTGTGAAGGTTTTACCAGAACCAGTTTGACCATATGCAAAGATGCACACATTGAATCCATCAAGAACCGATCGAATCAATGGTTGAATATCCAAGAAAACTTGCGCTGTCAATGCATAGTGTACAGGTAGAAGTAAGTGTCGTCAGCTTTTTTTAAGAAACATATAATCCAATAATCATTAAAAGAAAGATTTACATATATACCTGTCCATTTTTATGTAGTTACATATTTAATACCCAAACTATAATTTTTACATACATGCCAAAATTCCCTATGCATGAAAAGGTACATTTCACTTTTTAAAAGTTAAAATAGTGGTATTTTTTATGTGATACGAAATATTTGAGTGGTAGAATGTAAAAAATTAAAGTCTCAAGTGTTAAATATGCAAATACATGAGAATTGGGTGGTATGTATATAAATGCACCTAACTCGAAACACAAGAATGTTCAAAGAAAATTAAAAACCTTGAGTAGCAGTTGGGCCAAAGATCTTGTTGAACTTGAACAACCGATGGCCATCTTTTCCTTGCCTGGAAGGGTTCAAGAGAGCAAGTTCACCATTCTCACCAATGTAATCAATCGTTGTTAGCCTTGAATTTTGCCCACGTAAGAATGGTCTTATCCGACAATATACTCTAATATTTCCTGATAAAAATGTTCAATGCAGATTTTAGTTATTTTATTTCCTTGAGTTACACTATGTTTACCAAACAAAGATTTAATATTCTAACATTTTAGTAGATACCTTTTAGTTCTTGAACTTCATTGTATAACTTTCTATTTTCTGCAAGAACTGTATGATAATTTTCAGCAGCATCGGCTAAAACTTTAAGTCTAGCCCCTGCATAAAACATGGAAAAGGATGGCATATCGAAGCAGAATAACAACAATAAAGATCTGCTTCAAGTTGCATATTTTTTACCCATGTTACTTATTTCTTCCCTCCATTGACTTTGAGAGTTTACAACTTCCACCTTGATGAATTCTGAGGACATTCTCAAGCTCTGAAATAAACAAAATAACCACTTTTTTTCAAATCAAAACCAAACTAGAAAATTTAATAAAGATAAACAAGCAAAAATCAAATGTATAAGTTAACACCTTTACTGACTGTATTTGAGAAGAAAGAAAATTGTGTAACGCATTCTCCTTATGATTCCAACTCTGGAACTTTGATTCAGAGAATGCCTCGAGTTCATTTATCCTCTTAGTTGATGCGGATAGCAAGAGTTCAACCTCCCTTATTCTTTCTTGCAATCTTGCTTCATTTTGCTTTGCTTCAATTTCTAGTCGTTGGCAACGTTGTTCATACTGTTTTTTTTCTCTTTCCAAATCTTGCTTAAGCTCCATAATCACTTTATAATTATCTTCCTTCTCTTTCATCAACTTCAATGCATACTGCTCCTCGTGCTTCTTACTCGCCTCCATTTTGGTCTTCTCTCCCTGAAGCATGATATTTTCCTAATTATGCATGGCAAGTCTGTTTTTAACCAAAAAATTACAAAGAGACATGCAATACATGAACTGACAAGGTGGTGGATAGCATTGGAGAGGCCTTTGAAACATCAATAGCTTCCAGCTCAATTGTAATTATTGAAGCAGGTGACTAACAATGTGAGGGTGCTGCTTTTGGCATTTGGTAATTGTGGCAAACATTCTTTCCCAGTTTTATTTATTTAGTTTTTGTAACTAAGGACAATGATTAATTTGCCATCAAAACTAGATATGCCAGAGTATAAAATTAGCCATATAGTTATCAATTTTATTTATTAATTGTCAAAATTTAAAATAAAAATAAGCCTTTTGTCCATTGTACTACTTGTTGACCTCATTTTTTATGAGGTCTATTTTTTCTCCTAAGGCTTACGACCTAGTCTTAGGACTTTCCTAATGACTATCCTAGATGGCTGGTGATGGGACCCGCCCTTTTAGAAATTCAAACCAC